TTGAGGGAAACAAAAAAAGCTGATATTTTTAGGGACATTATAGAAGACCCCCCTTATAACTTGTTAACGATAAGACAGAATAGAAGACCCGGGGTCTTCTAACGTGTCGATGGCTTTATATTATAGAAGTCTGTTGTGTGAGACTTGAAGACAAGAAAAGCAACTGGATAGATTAGCTCATTGCTTTTTAATATTCAATTATAACTCTATTTATGTGCTTAACTGCTTTTGTTCTGTATGTTTCTTAGCAACAGAAAAGTCGATTTCTTTCGTGACGTATATGTATGCATGCTTACAATATACACTTAGTTTTTACAAAATTTTTATAGAGGATCAAGGCATGAAATTATATCATTCTGTTAAATTTTTTTCCTTGGGCAGTTTATGTGCATTTATTCAACTCGATAATATAGTTTACTGTGAGATGATACAGTATCAATTAACATAACATTCATAAAATTTGAACTATATATTCACGAGAAATAGAAGAGGTTTTTTTTAGCAATCAGAGATTTATTTTGCTTTTCTGTCTAAGTAATTTAAATACGTCTCATTTCACTTCTGAATTATATATAAATTTCTATGATGAACTTAATCAGCAAAATTATATCAATATATATTTAATCAGATATTCTTTTTAATTCTTCTAAAACTTCACAATCTACTAGGTACAATGTTGTATTAATCACAGTTGTTCAGGATTTATCCAGTATTGAAAACAGACGAATGTGTACATAGTGCGAAGAGCTCATCATTTTGCCTACTCAAGAATATGAAATCGAGACAGAATTGATGGTCAATCTTTGATTCTACAGAACCTATTTTTGATATTGTTGAACTATGGGTACAATAGGGAAATTTTAATGCATGAATTGCTGAACATTTCTATACTTATGAGCTAATGAATGCATAAAAAGTTGGTCGCAATAGAGGACTATCTTCAAAGTTTTGGCTTGCAAAACATATTAGAATTTCATTTGGCTTCTATTTTGTTGAAAGCGAAAGGGATTAGCTTATCGGCTAGTTCCATATCATTGAAAATTTCTCTTTGATAATCATTTCGTAGTAAACAATGATTTTATTTTAAAAAAATATCTGTTAAATACTATCTGTCATTTGAATATTTAATTCGTTTCGATAATGAAATAGCTGATGTCTATTGCTGTGTAAATTCATCTTGTGAAACAAAATCTAAAAAGGATTATTACCAAGGAGAAAAAGCGAGACTCCGAAGTTGAAGTACGATGGAGTATCAGTGGAGTACAGTTGAAGTACAGCTGGTGTACGGTGGAGTCTCGCTTTTTCGCGCTTGATTATTACAGTATAGATATGTAAATTCGGATCCTCGATAGACTGTGGGAGATAATTTAGCAACACTGTCATCCACATCATAAATGTGGATGTAAAACAACAGACCATTTATCAATAAAATCTCGTTACAATACATAAAACGATCTTCATATGATTAGAAGTAATATTTATATTGTGTTTCACAGTTTAATCTCGTAGGAATTGAGCTAACAACTTTTTGTTCGGTAGTAAAAGAAGAGGTATTCGGTGTGGGTAAACATGTATTCAGAGAAATTATCGAAAGAATCATATGCTTCGACAAGAGTTTTGGAAATGATTGAATCTATAGAATTTTTTCAAATCATGTCTTCGTTTTAAAATGATTTGCTTATTTACCGCGAAAACTGCATTTCTGAATTGTAGATACGCACGCATTCGATCTATCTTAATGACAGAAAATTGCATACTATTAAGCAATTATTTTAATTCTTTTATATAGCCATAAGAGTTTAGTGTAGTATTGAAATACAATAAATACAATTTTTTCCTCAATTCATATATTATTCTAACATTGATTAATTTGATTTATTAGTTAAAGTGACATGGCATGAATATTTTGCTTTATATGTTTTAAATTTCATGATATGAATTCAACTACTATCAAAGAAGTTGATACTTTTGATTTTATTCAAGGATCATTTGATAATAATTGTAAATATTTAAATTGAAATATAAATTTTCCATGCATTTATTGTTATTAGTTCAACGAGAATTAGTAAAAATTCGATTTTGTTCGATAGAAGCTGATGTTGGTGGTGATAATGAACTTGATATTGATGAATTTCTTGCTTTTCATTATCCAGAAATAGCTGGTCCTTCATATAAACATGTTGTTGATGATATTATCTTACAAATGGATTTGTCAATTTTCTTTTTTTTTTGTTTTCTGCAATATGTTATTATATGTTTAGATCGTAATGATGATCAAAAATTGAATGAAACTGAATTTTCATTTTTACCTTGTTAGTAATAATTATTTTTATTTTGAAAATATCTTATGAATAATCTTTTTGTTTTTTTTTGTTATTAGCAAGTGTATTAGAAGACGGTAGCAACAAAAGAATGGGTAGAAATGGATAAACGATGGTTAGAAGAACAAAAAAGAGAATATCATGAGATGGATAAGAATAATGATGGAATTTTAACAAAAGAAGAATTATTAGTAATTTATTTCTTTTTTTCTTATTTTGAAAAACATGTGTTTCTTTTTTGGTATTTTTAGAAAGCATATGATCCAATGAATTGTATTCATATAAGTAATCAAATAAAAACATCATTTGAAAAAGTTGATGATTCTCCATCAGATAATGTTTTAACATTGAATGAAATATAAAATCGTCAATAGACTTATTGTTTTCAGTTTTTTTTGTTTATTTCTAGATATTTTCCAATTAATTAGTATTTTATGTAATCTTATCGTTTGCTTTTTTTGATTGTTTTTCTAAGCTTTTTGTGTATATACCTTTAGTAAAGTGAAAAATATTTGTATTCATTTGCAAGTATTTAAGAAATATTGAATACTATAATTTGTATTAATGACGCGTATATCAAGTTCATGTCGAAATACTTGGATTTGAATTTGTAAAGATTGATAGTTTTGAAATACTAGTGCTGCGCAATGTCTTTTATTGTTGATCATATATGTTTATGTGAAATTGATGTAATATAATCAATCGATATAATAAACTATAGAAAGATTAACTTCCGGATAAAAATTTTATTGAATATGACATGTAACTAAAGTGAGCGTATCAAGTCCTAACGAACTTTAATCGAAAAATAAACAGCCAAAGAAACCCATATGATGTTAAAAATATATTTCATGACTAATGATTAATTTGTTTGACAAAATGAATGAGAATATATCAGATATCAAGAAATAACAATAGGCCTTTGATAGTATTCAAATATAAGTCACATCATTTAGTTTTTTATGAGTTGTGTAGAATAACAAATGATAGTACAATGAAGAATGGGCTAGGCTTGACATTGCCGTACCATCAGAAGAGAGACAAAAAAATCATAACTATCATTGTCGACATTATATTTTATGAATATTCCTCCAAAATTCTATGACATTGCTCTATCGTTCTCCATCTGCTGTTCATCTCATGAACGACGAAAGATCTCAATTTAAAATAATCTCTATCATTTTGAAAATTAATAATTCGAGAATCATAACTGAATGAAAGTTTTTTGATCAAATGTCTAGTTTAGCTAATAATTTATATTGAAACTATTAGTATTAATACATTAGAAAAGATCAGTAAAAATAAATATATTGTTGTTGTTGTTGTCATTCGCATATTGATAAAACTAGAAGCTACGTGAAAATAAACATATGTTCCAAACAGATGACATCTTCTATAAAGAAGGATCAAGAAATTACCAGAAGAAAAGGAAAAGATAATATCAAATAAGAAGACTATGAATGTTTCTTTTTATCAAGAAAGTCTAGAAAAGTATTAGAATCTACTGGAAATGGGAAGAATTGTGAATAATTCTTGATAATATATTCTTTTCTCAAACGAAATGATTCATTGCTAAGTTATAAATTGTGCTTGAAAAGGTTTGACTTCTATCAATAATAGATATTATTCATAGCAAATTTATGTATAATTTATCGTTCAGCATATTTAGTTTTTTAGAAGAAGGCTAGAATGATTATTTGCGAAAATAATAGTTCAAAATGTACAAATTTAGTCTATTAGTATAGGTATTTAATTCATCTTCAGTAAATGTTTTCATCTTATATTTTCTGAGAAAAAAAGAAAGATTGTTTCCTTCAAAAAAATATTGAACACGTTTGGCAGTGTGTTCTATGCCTAATTCATCTCAAAAAGATGACTTAAATGATAATGCACCAATCACATTGCTGAATTTGTTTTATTTTTTTCAGTGCGATTGAACCCTAATTCAGTTTTATTTTTATGCATTATGTTTGACCCCTAATGATAGTATAAATTTATGAAAGAGAACACCACTTTTCGACGAACAAACAAGACTGATGATATTCACGCTTCATCTTTTTCAATGGAATGGATGGAAAAAGGCAGAAAGGAAAAATGTCGAAAACAAGAATATGAGATGAAAATGAGCATGTAACATTAAATTGAGGGTGAGGGAGACTTGTACTTCAATATACTCTTGTTTTCAGCATTTCTATCCATCTACATTTGTAATATTTTTGTTTTTCGATATTTTTATTTTCGACATTTTTCCCTTTCGATATTTTTCCTTTCTGCCTTTTTCCATCATACCTTTTCAATGAGGTCATTCATACTTTTATCCAATCATGGAAATGTTTAGAAAAAAAAATAATGCGAACATACATGCATATAAATAGATACGTTCTCAGTCAGAAGCATACGTTATAATCACAATCAAACATGCTTCGATCTAATGTTCACCTTCTCGATCTACCTAATGAAATTTTGCTTATTATTTTGAAAAAACTTGATAATATTGATGTGCTTTATTCACTATCGGATATTAATAATGAAAGACTTGACATTTTGGCACAACAGAAGATTTTTACAAATATTCTCAATTTTGTACCTGCATTAACTGATGATGTTTATTCAATTCCTGCTTCAATACTTGATCGTTTTTGCTTCGATATATTGCCAAGAGTTCATCATAATGTCAAATGTCTCATACTTGACTCAGCACATATGGAACGAATTCTTCGCGCTGCTGATTATCCTTGTCTCGGTCAACTAAAACTCTTCAATTTTAACCAAGATATTGCCTTAAGATATTTTACAGGTAAATGATTCATCTATTGAACTGATCAAGAATTCAAAAGTAAAAGTGGTGAAAAACAATTACACTATTTGCGTTTTTGTTTAGATGAATCATCTTTTCAACATATTTTTCGACAACAAATTACAGATCTTAGTCTTATATGTAATGAAGATACTAGCAAAACATCAGTGAAAAGTTACGCTAAAAATATCTATAGACATATTTTGACTTTATTCAAAAATTTAACGCATTTGAGTATTGTTAGATTGCCAGGAGGTCAATATGAATGTCAACCTTTGTCACTTTCTATCTTGTCATTATCTAGTTTTTCTTCTTCAACTCTTACTAATTTATGTATCAGTCTGACTTCAATACAAGATTGTCTTTCTCTGCTTGATGGTCGTCTCAAACAATTATCAACATTAATTGTTATCGTTTATGGAACTCAGAATCATTCAATACTTGATCATAATATGGTAAACTTACATGTTATTTTATAAACATTTTGAAATAAATTGAAAAAACCTATTCATTTATCATTTCTCAATATCTTGAGGGTTTCACAGAATACAACATGTATCAGGAAAAATCCATAGTTTATTTTCGAAGAAATTTCTATATATGAATTTTGTGCTATAATATATTTGTATTTTCTAGGTTGATGTATCTAATCTGAAGTGTTTCTCATTAACATACAAAGCGATTAAAGCTTATGATGCACACGTTGTACCTCTTCTTCGTCGTATGTCACATCTCGAAGAATTAACTTTGTATCTTTGTATCAATAACCGATCTATATTCGTGGATGGTACACATCTTTATAATGAAATTCTTATTCATATGCCACAACTTCGTACATTTACATTTTATATACGTACAAAGATTGATATTAGTAATTCAATTCATCAGTTATCTGTTAACGATATTCAACAAACGTTTAATAAAATACAATACCAGGAAGTGGCGTGTATCTTAAATTACAGCTCTCCCACAGATATATGTCATGTCTTTTCGCTTCCGTTTTCATTTGATCGTCTCGAATGGATTGGCAATACGTTTCCAAATATTACTTTCAATCATGTTACTTTTTTAAAGGTCTTCGATTCGGTTGCATTTAAACATGAATTCTTCATTCGAATTGCACGATCTTTCCCATTGCTTAAGGAATTCTTTGTTTTAAATTGTAGTTCACAATTCTTGTTTTGGAATTTAAAAAACTTGCAATTTCAAGATTATCAATCATATTCAATTGTTGAATTTCCTCATCTTACATCACTTAACATAAGCCATGCAGAGATTGATTATGTTGAAGAATTTCTTAACAGTACTAAAACTTATCTACCTTGTCTCACTAAATTGGAAATAAATTATGACAACTTGATATATGTGACAGAAAACTTTACAAGAGATGCAACACGAGTCAATTGTGCTAAAGTGAAATGGTTAATTGTTGAAAGGTCAATAGTTTATTTGAAAGATGTTCATCTTTACTTTCCTTCATTACAAATGTAATTGTGATGTAGTAGTACATGATCTGTGTCTTTTCTGTTTTGTTTTTCCTATTTCTTTTCGTTCTATCTTGGCAGCATGCCAAAAGTATACATATACATATATGTATTGTTTTCTTCCGTTCTTTGATCTTTCTCTTGATCTCAACTTATATTCGTTATTGTTGATCGAGGTCAAACAAACATTATATTTGACTTTGACCTTGTTCTATTACGTAGTAATATTGTCTATTACGCAATATATATATATATATACTTTGTTTTGCATAATAAACTGGGCATTTACGTATTCACTTCAATACGTGAAAGTAGTTATTCTCATCATTTAAATAAAATGAATGATAAAAAAATTCTAATATTTTGGAAGATTGAGTTGGAATGAACCAATACTTTACATATTAAGATATGTAATAGACCTTGTATCGTTTACTCTTATTTACTCTTGAAAAAAGAAAAAGAAAAAGAGAAGACTTCTACTTTTCGTTTGTCATGAATCGTTAGCAATCTGGATTTGTTTCTCTTTGTTAAAGATTTCATCATAGATATTTTGTATCTAAACAATATGTTCAATATGGTTTTTTATATGTCCAAAGAAAGTGAATTCATTATATCGTACACTTCTTAGGTATACTTCTTTATGAATGTTTCATATGAAGTCGAGAAAAAAATTTCCTATATTATTTCATAGAAAAACTCTACCAAAAACGTCATTGGTATAAATAATTCTTTGGAGATTTTAACCTTCATTTGAATATAAACATTGTACTTTAATGAGTAAAAAATATTTTTTTTAAACATGGAAATCTTGTGATAAAAAATATGTGATATATTTCTTATCGTTAGTAGAATCTGCTATCAATTTCTTTATTATCAATTTGATGGTGTCTTTAAGAATAACTTCATTATAAACATATTGAATGATGTCGTTTAAAAAAACATGTCTCTATTACATAGTAGCTATTTGCTTGTTAAACATTTGCATGATTCATCTACCTAACAAGACCTATGTAATTGCATTTATATAGAAACACATAACTGAGATAAGCAATTCGATAACTAATTTTTAATATATCTAAGTTCTATTGTATTTTGTCAAATAAATGAGAACAATAAAGTTAATAGGTCGATATTGATGTATCATCCAATTGACGATTTTCTACTAAAAAAATTTTGGAGAAAAGAAAACATGCATGTATACTGTCGACATTTTATTTTATGAAAAGATTTTATCAGTTCGACATGATTTAACTATATCGACATCATCAATAAAAGTTTATTTAATAAATAATTCAAATAATGTTGGATTGATACTAATTGATCAAAAGTTGATGTGTATATGTTCTAAAAGAAAAAAAATATGTTTAGTGAATGTTAAAAAATAATCCTCATATTTACTTTGTTCCTCTTTATACTTGTTGAGTTTTATTTGAAGATCATTAATTTTGATATTCATTTGATCGGGTATTACCAAATTATTTTGTTTCATTTCATCTGTATCTTCCAATAATGTTTTCAATTTTTTTTCACCTTGTTGAAACTAAAATAAATATTTATATTTTATTGAGCATATTATGAAGCATTTCTTACCAATACAAACAATTGATAAAAACGAAATTGTTGTTTCTCTTTAGAACTTTCTTCATCTGCATCAGTTAAATCTTCTAATGCTCGATCTATAAAAAAAAAAAACAATATGTTTTACTGATTTTTTTTACAATAATCTTCAGATTTACCTTGTTCTTGTTTATATCTAGTTAATTTTACTTTAAGATTTTCAATTTTAGTATTCATTTGATCAAGTTCTACTGGATTATGTTTACCACTTTTGTCCATATCATTACATAATTCCTCCAATGTTTCTTCATGTCGAGGAATCTAAAATAAATTTTTTTGTATTTTGAAGCATATTATAAAGGATTTCTCACCAAGACGAGTAATTCAAATAAACGTGCTTTTTTTTCTTTTTCTTTTTCATTTACAGCGAGTAAACGTTCAATTAATAGTTCTAAAACAAAGCATCATTTACTAAATTTTTTTTCTAATGATCAAAGTCATATTACTTTGTTCATATTTAAGTTGTCGTAATTGACTTTGATGATTAGTAATTATTGGATGGAATTTGTCAATTTTAGCTTGATGATATTGTTTCATTTTGGTCCAATCGTAACGTAATTCTTTCAATGCTGTTTCTTCTAGACCAATCTAAAATGAAAACTTATTTCCTTGAGTGCATTATGAAGCACTTCTTATCCATGTAGCTAATTCGTATAAACGACATATTTGCTTTTCTTCTTCTTTTTCTTTATCTTCATTATCTAATGATTTATATAAATCAACTAAAAACATATGTTTTACTAATTATTTTAAAGCAATCTTCATATTTACTTTGTTCTTCTTTATACTTGTTGAGTTTTGTTCGAACATCATCAATATTGATATTCATTTGTTCAGGTATTACCGATTTATTTTGGTTCATTTCGTTAATATCATTCGATAATTTTTGCAATTTTCTTTCACCTTGTTGAATCTAAAATAAATATTTATATTTTGTTGAGCATATTATGAAGCATTTCTTACCAACACGAGTAATTGATAAAAACGAAATTTTTTCTTTTCATTTTCGGTTTTTTCTTTTACATCTGTTAAATTTTCTAATAGATGATCTAAAAAACAATATGTTTTATTGATTATTTTAAAATAAATTTCATCATTTACTTTCTTCATTTTTATGTTCACGTAATTGTTTTTCAAGATCAATAATGTTGTTTTTGATTTTACAAATATTTTCTCCATCATGTTTATCAATTTTGGCAATATTATCATGTAATTTCTTTAAATCTTCTTTCTTTTGAAGAATCTAAAATAAAAATTTATGCTTTTTGTGGAGATTATAAAGTACTTTTTACTAATGCAGCTAATTGATATAAATGTATTTTTTTCTTTTCTTTTTCCTTTTCATTAACATCGACTAAACTTTCCATTACCTGATCTAAAACAAAACATGTTGTACTAAATTTTTTTTTCTAATGATCAAAGTCACATTACTTTGTTCAGGTTTATTTTGATTTAAGTTTTGTTCATGTTTTTTAATTGCCTCATTTAATTCGGCAATTTTAGCTTCATAATATTGATTTATTTTCGTGAAACCATGATTTAATTCATCAAATGTTACTTCTGCTCGAACAATCTAAAATAAAAATTTGTTTTCTTAAGCACATTATGAAGTACTTCTTACTTTTGTAGTTAACCTGTTTAAATGAGATTTTTCTGTTTTTTCTTTTTCTTTAGTTAAATCGGCGAATTGTACAGATACATCAGCTAAAACAAAAAGCTAAATTTTACTAAATGTTTTAAAATGATATTCATCATTTACCTTCTTCTTCTTTATATTTGTTTAATGTTTGTTTAAGACCATCAATTTTATTATTTATTTTACTAAGTTCTTCCAATGATTGCTGTAATTCATTTTCGGTTTGAGGAATCTAAAATAAAAACTTATCTTTCATTAAGCACATTATGAAGTGCTTCTTACCAATACATCCAATTGATCCAAACGCATTGACAATATTTTAGGTGCTAAAGAAGACAACATGTTTTCGAAAGCTGAAGAACAATAATGACTATTTGTACATATGTACGTATGTATATATATACGTAGATAGCCATTGTTCTTCTTTACCGTTCTCCTCCACTAAGTCGATATATTTCTTCTCGTCTAGTTCGACTATTATTTTATCGAGATAAACACGTAGGTAATGTTAGCACCAGATTCGCGTATTTCCTGTCCCGATTCGCCCCTACGGCTGTGCTGGTTCCCTACTTGGTTGTGCTGGATGCAGAATTTAATTCTCTATCGAATGGTGACAACTTCGGCAGGGGTCGTCGAGCAAAAAATTGGGTCCACCACCAAAAAACCGCTTTTTCCTCCATGTGACGAATTCGGATAAGATGTAATTCCTATCCCGATTCGCGCATGCATATGTGCTGTGCCCCTCTTTGCTTGTGCTGGANTATACAACGATAAGCAAGACCAGAATTGACTACAATACAAGTTCCATATTGACATGGATTACTTGAACACTAGGATATTTATAAATATTTATTTTCTCACATGAATATTTTGTTAAACATAGTGGATTTGTTGGACATGAACATGTATAATTTCCTGAAGGGGTTAATAGTGACTGACATGATGAAGGTGCTCCAATTAGTACGCATGGATTAATATATTCACAATTGACACCAACATAATAAGCTGGACATAAACAAATATATCCATTCATTGCTACTTGACATGTACCACTATTACGACATGGCCTACTTTCACATGGTGTTTGTATTATTGGATATTGACATTGTGGACCATAATAACCAGCTATACAATTACATATATAACCAGATGTACTTGATGACGATACACATGTACCATATATACAAGGATTACTATAACAAGCAATTAATACATCACAATAAGTGCCTGTCCATCCAGCATAACATGCACATTGAGCTGTTAATGTAAAAGAATTTATTTGACAAATACCATGAATACATATTGGATATCGACATGGATTTAATATTTGACATCGATCACCATAATATGTTGTTGTACATAAACATGATATTGTTGATGTTGTTAACATCGTACAAGTTCCATTGTTAAGACATGGATTTGGTAAACATAAATTATATATTTGACAATTTGTACCGGAATAATTTATTGGACATCTACATGTATATGTACTAGTACCTGTTAATACACATGTACCACCATTAAGACATGGTTGAAATCCACATGGATTAGCTGTAAGACATGTTGGACCAGTTAATTGTGGTGGGCAATTACAAATATAAGCAAGACCATTATTTGTACTAACACATGTCCCTGTGTTACATGGTGCTGATAAACAAGGATCAAGAATTGTTTGACATTGTGTACCAGTAAATGTTGGTAAACAAATACAACGATAACCACCATTTTGAAGTGGTACACAAGTACCACTATTTAGACCTAGAAATATATTATTTTGAATAAAAATGTTTTTTTTTGTTTTGTTAACTATTCAAAAAAAGCTTACAAGGTACATAAAGACAAGGATTAGTAACGAGATTACATTGTGGTCCTGTAAAATTCGGTGGACATATACATATATAACCAGTTGTACCACTTGGAATACAAGTACCATTAGATTGACATGGACTTGGTATGCATAATGAAGTATAAGTTTCACATCTTGAACCAGTATAACCAATTGGACATATACATATAAGTGTACTATTAAATAATTGTACACATGTACCTCCATTTAAACAAGTTGAACTTGTACAACTATTAAATATTGGTGTACCACAATCATCACCAGCAAATCCAACATCACAAAAACATCCACTACCTGGTATGCATGTACCACCATTTAAACAAACAAGTGTGGGTCGAGTGCTTGTTGGACATGAATTTAATATTGATTGATCACAACGACTACCTGTCATACCAGTTGGACATAAACAGATAGCACTACCATTTATTAAAGTAGCACATGTAGCATTTGCTGCACATGGCATACTTGAACATGGATTTGCTATATCACAATAAGCACCAGTAAAACCAACTGGACATATGCACGTATATGATGTCGAACTTAAACGAACACAGGTACCACTGTTACGACATGGGGGGTAATGTTCCAGATATTACTAAACATGGATCAATTATTTCACAATAACGACCCGAACGACCCGTTGGACATAGACAAAGAAATGTTGAATTAGCTAACATGACACAAGTACCTTGGATACAAGTTACCAATGAACATGGATTTGAATACGTTTCACAGTAGAGACCTAGAAAAATCAAAAGTAACAGAATAGAAAAAAAAAGCTTTTATTGAATATGTTCTATTTTAAATATTATAAAATAAATTTACCTGCAAAAGTACTTGGGCAAATACACATTGGTTTCATATTTGCATTGAGAACACAAGTACCACCATTGAAACAGTATGGGATTGAAGTATTACATGGATTAAGAAGAATTTCACAAAATCTAAACATAAATTTTTCATGTGTGTATATTTACAAAGACAAAAAAAAATAATAAATCATTTTTAGAAACCTTCCAGTTGAAAGACCACAACATTGACAAGTCATTACTAAAGTTGTTGGATCATATAAACATACACCTCCATTTAAACCTATGTATATATATATATATACTAATATTAATAATAAAAATGAAATAGACTTACATGGATTAGAATCACAAGGAAGTAAAGAAGTTTCACTGAAATATAAATGATTTTAAAAAAAAGCAGAATTCAAAACCAATTCTCTAACATACCATCGAAGACCAGTATAACCAGGCGGACAAGTACATATAACACCTCCACTTGCAGTTGACCGACATACACCTCCATTAACACCTAAATAATAATTGAACTCAAAAACAATTCTTTACAACAACAACTGAAGACATACATGGATAAATCTGGCATGGACAATTGCATATTTCACATCGAGTACCAAGATAACCTGTTGGACATATACATGTGTACGATTGAGTACCAATAACAAGACATGTTCCGTTACGAAAACATGGTTGTGAACTACATGGATTTGTTGTAATTGAACAATCAGTACCAGTAAAACCATTAGGACAGATACATATGTAACCTGTTAAAGATGCGACCTGGATTCCAAAAATAAACAAAAACAAAAAGGTCAAATCAATAAATAGGAGAAAAAAAAACAACTAATTAATAAACTCACACAAGTTCCATTATTAACACATTTTGTTGGATTCATTTGACATTGATCAATTGGTTGTTCACAATAATAACCTGTTGTTGTTGCTGTACATGTACATGAAAAACCTAATGGTAAAGATGAATTAACTCGACATGTTCCTCCATTAAAACAAATCGAAGGATTTGCAGTACAAATATTGGTTCCATTCATTATTATATTACAAAATGTTCCAGTATAATTTGGTGTACATACACAACGTATTATATTTAATGCTAAATCTTGATAACATGTTCCATTATGTTGACATGGATTGGATCCACACAATGAAATATATGATTCACAACGAATACCTGTATATGAAGTTGGACATCGGCAATAAAATCCTACTGTCGCCATAGCTTGACGTTTTCTACGAACGGCACTTGTGACAAAACATGTACCACCATTAACACAGGGTTGACCTTAAATTATAAATAAAATTAACAAATAGAAAAAAAATATATACAAATGTATTAAAATAGATCATCTTACTATCACATGGATTAATTAAAGATTCACAATGAATTCCTGTAAATAAACTTGGACATAGACAAAATGTTTGATTACCATTAATTAGACATGTACCACCATTTAAACAAGTCGAATTTCCACATATTAATGGTATATAAGTTGCACATATTGGACCTAAAATAAATTTATTTGTTTGTTTTTTGACAAGCTTAAACAAACTGTTAGCGTAATCTTTTCGAGATTAAAATGTGACACACGATGTAGTTGCTCTTGCTAATCATAGGAAGAGATTGTTTTATTCTATCAACTTTAGAGCACATTTCTTCACCATCATCTTACTTAATCATCTTGAAATGCAATAAGAAAATAGCTCATATTTAATAATAAGACGTTATTGATATACGACTTGTGATCATATATCAACAGAGTCTGTAAAGAGGGAACGACGGTGTCCGAATTTCTATTTTTATACGTCAGCATTCATTTTAAATTGTATTTTTGTTTTTCTATAAATTATATATGAACATTACTCACCAGTATAAGGTCCTGTACAAACACATTGAAAACCTAATGTACCATTAGCATATGTTGATGGTAAACATACACCATTATTTAAACATGGTGATGGCATACAAGATGATATTTGTATTTCACAACGACTACCTGTATAACCTGTTGGACAAATACATATTTGTGTATTATCTTGTCCACGTATTGCACATGTTCCATTATTTGAACACATCAATGTACATAATGTTGGTGAAACAATTTCACATCGTAAACCAGAATAACCTTGTGAACAAATACATGAATAACTTATTCCAGTCGAATAACAAATACCATTATTAAGGCAAGGCTGTGATACACATGGAGATATCAATATATCACATGCTGTGCCTGTCCATTGACTATTACAATAACATATTGCACTTCCATCGGCACGTAATAAACATTGACCATTTACACATGCTAACATTTGACATGGAGATATTTGTGTTTCACAATATTGACCTACACGAAAAATATTTTAAAAAATTGAAACTTTTTAATAAAGAAGAAAAAACAATTCCTACCCGTAAATGTAGCTAAACATTGACATGCAACAATTGTTTGATTCGTACTATTAGATATTGCAATGCATATACCAGAATTTAAACAAGGATTTGATGTTGTACATGGATCTATACGTTGTGTACATAATGTACCTGTCCATAGAGGTGGACATATACATGAAATAGTATTTAAACCATTATAAACACAAGTACCACCATTTTGGCATAATGTTAATGAACATGAACCAAGAAAATTTTCACATCGATATCCAGTATAATTTGATGGACATATGCATGTATAATTGTAAATTGGTAATAATGATGAACATATACCATTGTTAAGACATGGTACTGACAGACAAGGATCAATATGTGTCAGACACTAATTACGAAAAAAAAAACAAAAAAGAAAATTTAAATAATTTCATTATAGAAAACCAATGTTCAAACCTGAACTCCTGTAAAACCTGGTAAACATGAACATATTGGTGTTCCATCAATAGTTCGATAACAAGTACCACCATTTGCACATAAATAATCTATACATGGATTGATATATATTTCACAAAATATTCCTGTATATACTGGTATGCAGATACATGTAAAATTAACTGTTCCTGGTACTGCTACACAAACAGCATCATTAACACATGGCGAACTTAAACAAGGATTTATAGGTATTGCACATGTTTGACCAGTAAATGCTGGTGGACAAATACAAGTTCGACCACCAATAGCCGACGGTGATATAACACAAGTACCACCATTTAAACATGTATAATTCATACATGGATTATATTGTTCACAAAAATTACCTATATAACTTGGTAAACAATAACACATATACGAATTATTTAATGTTGATAAACAAGTTCCATTGTTAAAACAAGGTTGTGATTGACAAGAATTTAAAACTATTTCACAATATGTACCTGAATAACCAATTGGACATAAACATTGACTGTTTAATAATGTTGTTTGTAAACATGTACCACCATTTAAACAAATCATTGTTGTACATGGTAAACTTGTTATTTCACAACGTTGACCTGTATATGGTAATCCACAAAGACATGTATAACTTATATTTGTTCCAGAACGTAAACATGTTTGATTATTAAGACATGGATATGATAAACATGGATCTAATGGTATTTCACATAAAACTCCAGTATGTGATGCATCACATGCACATACATAATGAATTCCTGCTAAATAACATGTACCTGTTTGACAAGGATTACTTAAACATGGATTTATTATTTGTTCACATAAACTACCACTATAACCTGTTGGACATAAACATGAATAAGTTGTACCAAGAGTTATACAAGTACCATTATTGACACTAAAAATAAATGATAACTAAAAGTAGAAAGGCTCTTTGTTTTTATTTTTAAAGAAAATTTACCATGGTAATAATGAACATTGATCAATAGGATGATCACAAATAAGTCCTGTATAGTTAACTGTACATGCACAATAATATGTTCCATTATTTAACGAATAACATGTACCAAATATACAACGATTTGGTAAACACGGATTAATTAAAGTTTCACATTTATCACCTGTATATAAAACTGGACATGTACATGTATAACTTGTTTTTGCAGAATTAGAAATACATGTAGCATTATTATAACAAGGTCCACTTGAACATGGATCAATGGTTATTAAGCAATATAAACCTGTTTGTGTTGGTGGACATAAACAAGTTGGTTGATATGAACTATCTAATAAACAAGTACCACCAAAAAAACACATATATGTTAAACATGGATTCATTAATGTTTCACATTGAGTTCCAGTCCATAATGTTGGACACGTACAAGAATATGTATTCGATACTGAAGTATAACATGTACCATTATTTAAACATGGTGTTGGAAAACATGGATTAATAGTTTGAAGACATTGAGGACCAGTAAATAATGGTGGACATAAACAAGTTACTGATGTACTCGAATAAAGACATGTACCATTATTGAAACAAGTTGTATTAGTACATGGTGGTAAAAAACTTTCACAATAAATTCCTGTACGATTAGGTGGACATTGACAAATAAATGTTGTTTCATTTGGTATACAAGTAGAACCATTGAAACATGGAAATGATAAACATGGATTAGTTATATTTTGACATAATGGACCTGTATATGTCGAATTTATACAAACACATATGAAACTTGATGTAGCTAGATTTAGATAACATTGACCATTTGGTGAACATGGATTCGGTGTACATGGATCAATCATTTGGTCACAGTTAATACCAGAATATGGATATGCACAAAAACAATTATATGTTTGACCATCAGCACTTGGCACACATGTACCCCCATTGAGACATGGACTTGGAATAGCTGGATTTATTGGACATGGTGGAACAATATTTTCACAGCGTGCACCAGAATATAATGTTTGATTACATATACAAACATAACCAAGATAAGATCCAGTTACATTAAATGAAGAATTCGTTATTTGTTCATAACACGTACCATTATTTAAACCTAAGAAATAAAATAATTTTTTTCGAATAACAATAACAAAAATTATTTACAAGGATTGCTTGCACATGGACTTATTGGAATTTCACAATATGTTCCATTAAATCCCAATGGACAAATACAAATAAATTGATCACCAAATGAAAAACATTGACCATTATTTCGACAAGGTATTGATGCACATGGATTGACTGGTATATCACAATTAGTCCCTGTCCATCCTGTTGGACATAAACATTCATAATTAGATCCATTTATAATCATACAAGTTCCTAAAATAAAATGAAAAAACATGAAAAATATTTTTTTTTGCAAATAAATTTACCATTATTTTGACATGGAACACTTGCACATGGATTAAATGTACTGCAATTAACTCCAACATAATTAGGTTGACATATACATTCATATGAATTATTAGCTCTTGATTGACATACACCATTTGGTGAACATACATTTAAACAACAATAATCAATATTTTCACATATTGAACCATTATAACAATTTGTACAATTACATTGAACTGTTCCATTTAAATTTCCTGAACATGTACCATTATGTAAACATGGAGAAGATAAACATGGAAGAAAAGTCTTTAAAAAGAAAACAAAATAATTAATTTAAAGAAAGAAAAAAATTTCTTTTTTAAATTTTTCTTTCATACTTCACATTGAGTTCCAGTAAATCCTGGTGAAGTACAATTGCAATAAGCTAATGATGTGTTTGGATTAACAACACAAACACCATTATTAAGACAAGTACGATTAAATTGTGCACATAAATCAATAGCTAAATGAAAACAAACGAACTAATATTTAGGAGAATAAAAGTCAAAAACTAACGTATGTTACAAAGATCTCCACCAAAACCAACTGGACAAACACATGATATAACACCGAATTCAGACATTGTACAACCTGCACTAGGTGCACAAGCAGCACAAAGATCTAATATAGAAAAAAAAGAAATTTGTTTTTGTTTTCATAGAAAAAGAAATACTAAAATTTATGAAATATGGTTTATTTACTTGAACTATTACATAATTGCCATTGAGGATTTAAATCACAATTTGCATTTCGACAACAATATGTTAAACGATCTACACCAAGTGGTATACATGTAGCATGAGTTCTATTATTATATATGAATGGAAATACACAACCATCGATATCTAAAATATTACTTTATTAATAAGTAATTTTTACATATAGAGTTACAATAAAAAATTGAAATATTTCTCCGCCGGTTCAATCGAATGGATTGATGTTTTGATTAATAATAGAAATTTATCCAATGTTTCTTTTCTCATACAGATGAGGTAAGTAAATACTACTATTAAGTATTATTATTGGTATTATGAAAGCAATCAAGTTAGAAAAATATATTTGAAGTGTTTCATAGATAATATTCAGCTGTCATCTGAAAGATGAATAACAAAAGATCAATAGGAGTCTTAATTTGTGTACAGGTACTACATCAAGAATATAAATCATTACCATTGCACCGCTATTATTATGATGTATGACACCGAATTTTTGCTCTAAAACATTATAACCTAGAAAATGCTACCTACAAAATTTCGCCGTTTCTTACTAAAACTACGGCTAATTCTCAAATATTGCTACATGTAATCTGAAGTCTAGTCTACAGTCTTTTTTTTATCCAAAAAATAAATTCATTGATTTGATGATTGATGTTTCTGGTTCCATGGAATGAAAAAGGTTATCGTCTATGTTCGATTTCTTTTTAGTAGAATACTTGCTTCTGAAGCTTGAAGGTAATAATAGATAACTGTAAAGAAAGCTTCCCAAAACGTTTCAATTCATTGAATTGAACTATCACTGAGCTATTGATCTCCAAATAGCAGTAGATGATTTCTGTCGACAACAATGAACAGTCTTTGAAAATATTGATGAACTTGAAGAAAATTAGTAATGTAGATAGTTGGGGTATAACATTACATATTGAGGAGGACGTTGACAGAGAATACTCTTCGTTTCCAAAGTAATGAGACGGACAACAAAAATAGATGCTATCCATTATAAATTTCTTTGTAAGTCAGCAATAATAGTGTCACAATGCCAATGACCTATTTTCTTGGTGAAATGCATATAGACAAAGTCTGAGGCCTCCAACAAGGACAATGATCGAGATCGGCTGGAATGGAGACTTTTGTCTACTGATGTATACTTATGCATATAGAGAATATTTTCAGGAACAGTCAGTTTAAAAATCAACGATTACAAAGTTTCCAAATGTCAAACATGGAACATTGATTTTTACAAGAAAATTAGTGTTGTCCTGCTCAAAGAACTGCAACCGTGCATTTTACTTATAGGGTACGAATTTTAGCATTCTAACTGACTGATATTGAAAATTGTTCTGTATACATTAATACAGTTAAAGTTTATTTTGATTTCTTATTATTATTCTCTTAGATGACAACTAAAAATTTTCTATGAAAAGTAGCTTCGTATGTCTTTTTCTTACTTGACATTTCGTGCGAATCGAAACAGATATTTTATCTTTTTTTTTTATCCTAGTACTATTAATGGTACATCCTGCATGTCTTTTCTTACTTTTCGTTGGTTCAATAGTTATATTTAATATATTTGGCCATGTTATGTTTGGTATATTAGAACCGTTGACTATTATTGTTATTATAATTGTATTATTTGGACCAGGGCTAAAAAAAAGATTTTTGTACAATTAATTAAAAAGATATTTAACACTTCGTCTACCGAATATTATCAATATTAAGTGTACTATTTGTTGTATTGGGTAATAATTTACTAATATCAATATATGTTAAATTATTATATGTATTATTTCCAAGTGGAATAACAATGGTAATAGTATTATAAGCTAAGTAAAAAAAGAAAAAACAAAAACTTTTTAAATGAACTAGTTATTCTAATAAGTAAAAACTTACGATAGGCACAAGTTACACCAATCCATCCATCAACACATTTACATTGAAATGTACCTAAGTCTTGATTAACTGTACACGTGCCATTATTCAAGCATGGACCTGATGCGCACCAATCAACTATAGATTAAAAACCAAAAATTTATCAAACTATTCAAAATTCTACAGCATTTACTATTTCTGCAATCAATAATACGACCAGTAAAAACTGGTGTTGCACTACACCAAGGAAAACCATATCCTGTTGTTATGCATGTTGTATAATTAACACCATTATAAGCAAATGGAAAAATACATGTAGCATTAGCTAGATAAAGATACTTTTATAATCTATAAAAATATTGTTTGTTACAGACTTTCTATTGATACAACACTTGTTTGATTAAAAGAAACAAGATATGGACCAACTGTCCAATTGTTATTTACTAGATCAATTAAAGGTAATTCAAATTGTGGAACGGAATAATTTTTGCCTGATACAATAACTACAACTTCACCAGTTGGACTAGAATAAAAAGACAAATAAAAAAAATACAAGTTTCATAAAAAAAAAAAAGCATTTTCTTTTCTTTTCTTCAATTACCTGATAATAATACTGGTAGGAATAACAGCTCCGTGTGTAATATTAATAATCGTTTGATTAATATTTGATATTAATGTTGGAAAGCCTGGTGACGTTTCATTAGAATAATTAAGCAAAAAAAGTTTATAACCAATAGCAACTAATAGAAGCAGAAAAGAAAAAAGTTCATCAATACAACAATTATAGATATATATATTTATTTATATCTTTACAATTTTCACAATAACGGCCATAGTATGGATCCGTACAATTGCAAGAAAAATCTCGTAAATCAGGGCGATTAACACAAGTTGCATTATTTTGACAAAATAATGAACCATTTCGACAAAAATCTATATAAAAATTTTTTTTTAATATTTAAAAGAAAAAGAAAAAAGAAAATCTTATTTTTCTTATTATACCTAAATTTGCACAATCTTTGCCTAATGTTTGTGTAGATTCACAAAAACAATTCCAACCATCATCAGCAGCAACACAACGAATTGGAAATTCAGGTGTACTATTACATGGATTTGTCATATTTAATATATCACATGCTGTATACTGTGCTGTTGGTAATCCACTAGCATCACATAATTTTCGATCAAGTAATGTATAACTTTGTCCATAGGCACAATAAGCAAGTCCATTATTATCTACATGACATACAGCTAATGAATCACCATTATACATATAAGGTAAAGTACAATTAGGTGCCGCTATAAACAAAAGCCAACATAAAAATGAAGATTATAATCATTAGTTACTCACGATTCAGTGGTTGAATTTCTTCAGGTTCTAAAAGACCATTATCGATATATATAGTATTAAATTCTGGTGGAAGATTTGAAAGTATTGGAGTAATTATGTTTGCAATATCAGTTTGACTTATATTACCCGGAAATGAAAGATCGGCAGATACTTGATAATAGTTTCCATTAGCAGTTCGAAATCTAAAGAAAAATCAAGTATCAAAATTTTTTAAGATTTATTTCATCTAATAAAATATACGTTGTATAAATTAATGGTAAATAATCAAAACTTGAATTTGTTTGATTACGAAGTAAGTCTCGAAACATTTTCGATACATTTTGATATGTTTGTGTTGTTGGAGATTCTAAAGCATTTAATGCTGTGTCCGAAATATTTGGAGCAAGATAAAGAGTTTTTAATCGAAAATAAGCTAGAATTAATAATAATATATTTATTTATGTTTTTAAAATATTTTTAAAACATTTTACCATGTGTACATAACATTCCTGTAAAACCACTTGTACAATTACACATAAACGATAAATATGAATGACCAAATGCCCATCGACTTGTTGGAATACATGTACCATATATACATGGTTTTTGTGCACAATAATCAACTAAAAATATATTAATTTATATGAAATCTTGATAGATAATCTTGAACATACTTTGACAACTTTTCTGTTGACCAAGGATATTTCTACACCATGGTATCGTTCCTCCAAGATAATCACTTGTTGTTATACATGTGTTATGTGTTCGATTTTGATTGTCAACGAAAGGAAATACACAATCAGTTATATCTATAGAAAAATTATTAAAAAAAAAGTGAAACTAAAAGAACAACCATGTTAAATTAATTTACTATATTGACAAAAAACTCCTCCATAACCAGGTGGACATACACAACGATAATATCCCGTTGACAATGCAATACAGGTTCCATTATTTAAGCAATCAATATCATTACATCTCATAACTATTAAGATAAAGAAGAAGAAATTTTTCTTTTTATTAATTTTAATTCTACGTACGTTGATCACAATCTTCACCCGTTATACCACTTGCACATTCACAATAAGTTAAATTACGACTTGTTACAACACATCTACCATCACCACAATAAATATTATCACATAAATTAAGATAAATTGGTTCTAGAAATGAAATTTATTTTCTTAAAAATTACATTTTATTTTATTTTTTCAACCTGAACATGCTGTAAACTGTCCATCACGATCAAAATTATCTGTTAGTGAACAAATAGGTACATTAAATGAATTTATAACACAACCTGTTATATTTCGTCCTCCATATATATACCATGGTGCACATTCACGAGCTAAAATAATCATTGAAATTCTTTAGAATATTTCAAAAAATCTTTTACTTGTATTCGTTGGAACAATCGTTATTCCTACAATAGTATTTAATGCTGTTTGTGTTGCATTATTAAGAAAATTCAAATAATTAGTATTTATATTAATAATAGCACTTGTGGTTCCATCATTATTTTCACTATGAACAACAATAAATAAATAATTCTATAAAGATTTTTCTAACTAAAAATTTACATTATTGAGATAATATCTGGTCTAACACCACCATTTGTTATATTTATCAATGCTGTATTTAATGTTTGATTAATTAATGCTTGTAATTGTCGTGATGCATTACTACTTGCATTTTTATAATCAGGTGTATAGGTAATATTAAGTGCCATTTGAATCGTTTGATATTCTATATATATATATATTTTTTTTTTGAAAGAAACTAATTTCAAGAAAGAACAAAGCAAATATTTTCTTACGTAATTCACAAAAATAACCACTATATCCTGTAGCACAATTTATACAATGAAATGATCCACTGACAGTATCTTGACAAGTTCCTCGGTTACGACATGGATTATTTTGACATTGAGGAGCTAAACATCAATCAAATTTAGAAATGAATCTTTTCATTTGAAAATATTTATTCCAACCTCCACATCCAGCAAGTGAAATAGGAAATAGTCCATTCGTTCCAGAATTTCTTACAACACATAGTGATTGACCACTAATAACAGCACATGATGTATATCTTACATTCATATATGTAAATGGAAATACACATCCAGTATTGCCTGACACTAAAATAAGAACATATTCAATTAATAAATAATTTTCAAATCTAGATAACATACCAATTTCGCATAATGTACCAACTGTATTATTTGAGGTACAAATACAAGTATTATCACGACACGTAGCACCGTTAGCACAAGTAATCGCTTTGGAATTTGTTACTGGATTACAACCGAATACTTTAAATTATGACAAAACAAATGTATCATCAAGTTTGAAATAATAAAACGAAATAAAACTTACATTGATCACATCGAGTACCAGTAAAATATTCTGGACAACTGCATGTAGCTAAGCCATTAACAGTTGTACATGTACCACCATTGAGGCATATATTTGGAAAACAAGGATCTTGTGAAACATAATTAAAAACTTTAAAGAAAAACCAAAATTAATTATTAAGCTTTTAATAAAGAGATTAGAACTTACTATTTCTTGAACAATCAAGACTGTTAAAAGTAGTATTTCTATCAATAACACGAGATTTTGAACATATAAAACTTGGAGGTAGTGATACACAAAAATTATAATCAACCAAAGAAAGTGCAAATGGAAATACACAAGCTAGAAAAAGAAAGCACAAAATTATTCTTAAGAATTTAAACTTGTTTCTTTCTTATTTACAAGTATATGGTGTTGAATCTTGTGTCACTGGATTTGTTATATATGCTGAATTAATTGATAAGTGATAACCCAGTGGAGTCGTATTATTTCGAGTTAATGCTGTTTCAAGTGCTGATAAAATAACAGGTGTGTATACTGCACTTGTCGGTGTTACAGCCATACTAACTGAAATATATGCACCAAATGAACTTGGACTAAAAAACAAAAGAATTTCAATGACTTTTTCATTCTGAGAATAAGACAAACTTACGATACAAAGTTAATTGAATATATTCTGTCTGATGGAAGTGCGCTAAATGCATCATTCATCCAAGTAAATAGATCATTAGATAAATTAGCATAAGATGGAGAATCAAGTGTATTAAAATAAAAATCACTATTAAATGGTAGATCACTTCCAAGCATTATATGAAAATATTCTGCGAGAAAAAAAAACACAGTAAATATAAGAAATATATAGACGAGGATTTTTCACTTACGAAGATGGCAAAATATACCATTCCATGGCGCAACACATTGACAATAAGAATATTGATCATCATAAATGCAAGTACCACTATTAAGACATGGCGAGGAATTACAAAAAGCTAGAAAATTATTTAAAATCGAAAGTCTCTCATTGAAAAAAAAACATAATTGAAATGAAATAATTTACTTTTATTAACGTCTTGATATCGTTCTCGTGCTTGTGTTTGCTCAATTTCTATAGGTACACTTTGAATATGTCGTAATGAAGATGTATCGTTTGTTATATTATTATCAAAAATAGTTGCAACAAAGAAAACAGTATCGTCAAATGAAGGAGGAGCCATCCAATAAAATGTAAATTTTGATCGACTTAGATTTTCAATTGATGATTTTTGATTAGTTACTGCTTGTTCTGAAAATACTGAACAATCTATTACTTGACCATCAGCAGCAGTAAATGGTTGCCATGAACCAATTAATCTTGAATAATCACTTGCACCCATAAGAAACCATGATGTACTACTTACAGTATTTTTAACTACTAATGATACTTTTATTATATTTGATGATTTAAGTATTTCGGTTAGAATTGAATAATTATCATCACTATTTATATTCAATGGTGTCAAATTTAATTGTGAACATTGAGAAGCTTCCGAAATGTGTAAGGATATATGAACTAGAAAAACTAGCACCGAGAATAGGAACATCATTTGATTGACGACAATCAAATAAGTTGATGGATTTTATTTCGAATGAATACCAATGTGTAGAAGTCAAGTATATACGAGCAAAAAGAAAAAATAGTTGTGAAAAATAATTATTGTATGATGAAAAAAAAAAACTTCGGCGAAAAGAAATATTGTAGGTGGACACTGTTTTTATTATTGTTTTATACTTCACATTAGAAATCCTAATACAATAATAATGAGGTACAAATGAGAATACTAAAAGCAAAGAATCTTTTTTTGATATGCATAAAATATGTTCGTATTATTTATAATGATCAAAATCATTTCTTCACGTTCTGATGCCAATACCATTATAATCATTGAAATCTAAAGTTATGAATACGGTTGATTAACATATTAAATAGCATACCTGTATATTTTTTTACGTCGGCAATCTTTTTCAATAATGTATAAAATATATATACATATGTTTATATCATCAAATAGATCTTTTATTTCTTATATCAAAAAAAATGGTTGAAAATAGTATATATATATATAGAGAGAGAGATTATAGACGTTACTAATGTTCTACATAATAATAGCACGATTTTTTTTATATTGTTTGAGCATATATAAATCTAATTTGGGTTTATTCATAAGTTAAATAATGTGTCATAATCTGTTTTGAACAGTTGAAAATGTTTCAATGTATTAACTAATACCATATTTATAATGAGAATTCAACGTTTGAAACATTGTTTCAATAATGAACTTTTATTATTCATAAATAATTAATATATAAAAAAAATCAACTATTTAAAATAATAGTACGATCATGTTCAATTTTGGCTTTTTTTTTCGTGTCTCTTCTTAATATAAATTGTACTAAGCCTGCGAATGCTCCAGAAACACATCCAAGTCCAACGAACATACCTACTAACCATGCAGGTCTTGTATACATATTCATTGACCACATACATACAGCCATACCAATTTGAAATATAGAATTAGCTATAAAACTCCAAACAACAATTTGAATCCATAATAGATTGGTTGTATATGAATGACGTTGAAGAAGCTTATGTCGATGTTTTTTACTATAAAGTTGATAGAGATCACATACTCGCCAAGGAATAAGACCAATACCCGTTACACAGAAGAGTGCATTAAGAATTTGAGAATCAATCTCAATCCAAATTTTACGTGTTTCTTCATCAGACATTGTCTTATTTGCTGCACCTACTAATATGAGAAATAACATTCCACCCCATGCAACAATATTAAGTGCGTATATTACAATTATAATTATTTTTGTATATTTAAAACATGAAGAATTAATAAATGATTGATAACATGTTGAATTCACGGCAGATTGAGATACTAATGCTGGATCTGGGTCAATTGGTGTCGAAATATTATCATGTATTATGCTATTGGTAGACATTTTAAAAAGAATTAGCTTTACACATGTTTTGATAAAATATAAATAATACAATGATTTTATTGTTTATTTCAAAAATTGTTACCTTTTCTTTTCTTTCTTTTTTTTTATCCACGACAACAATATAAAGTGTGGGTTAAAAAGAATTTTTTTTTTGGATACTCTCTATTTGCTTGCTGAGAAAGTTTTTTTTCTCTTTCTTTCTTCTTGATCAAGTGTGGTCTGCATGCATGCCATTGACGACAACATCATTTAATTACATTGAATACTTATAATAACCTGTACACATGTTAATATATATGACTTACGTATGAGTCTTGAATGAGTAAGACAGATGTGACATAGACATACAATGTATTTTGTGTATGATATGAATGAATAAAATGAGTCATATGAAACAGAAAAGTACGTATTCAATTTTTATATTGAAGAGAAATATTCCAATTGCACGTAGAATTTTAATTTAGACTATTTCTATTGAAGATACATGTTGTTTATGTGATAATCTTATAATTTAATCGAAACTATTTCAGGTTAATAAATTACATATGTTTACAAAATTTGATGTCTATCTACCCATCTTTTTTTACATAAAATATGAGTGTTAATTAAAATTTGCTTTTATATCATATAGAAATATAGTAAATTAAATTAAAGTAGGTAGATCAAAACTATATTAGTATTCTCATATCAACTATTCTATTAACATCTAATTCACGTCTAATTGCATTTGATCAAAGAAAATACTAGTAAATTCTATAAAATTAATACTCATTTAATTATAAATATGAGCTTTTTTTTCTTCTTGTCATTTTTGTTAGAATTTTTTTTTTTTTTATCTACAAAACATAAACAAATAAGGTTTCCTTGCAAGCTAAAGGAAAAATTATCAGATGTATTGAGGAACATAACCTAATGAAAATTTCTTTAAGATAATTGTAAGCTCACCATGTAGGATGTATCTGTTGCTGTCCATGCAAATAAGTTGTGAATGGTTTGTGCTGATGATATGTAGCATGCGCAGATAAACAAAATTTAGTTTTCGTGTTCATCACAATCATTGTTCTAAGTTTAATATTGTCTTATTAGAAATGTAGATTACCCGAAGATGAAAAGCAAACGTTGTCGACATGAAACTTAATGATTATCATAATAGAGCAATTTACATTTCTTATCTAAAATGACGATACAATTCAGAAAGATAATTTTTTTCAGTTAACATTTATCAATTATAATACATAGACACACAATTAAAATGCATAAGCTTGAACTTAGATTCATTTTCTCAGTAAGACTGTTCTTTTAGAAATCTTTCTTACATTATAATTAAATACGTAAAATGAAGAACTAGTGCTTGTTTATTAAAATAGTAGTTTTAGAATCTCATAAAATCAATCAAATACATTTTTATAAAAGTTTATTTCTATAAATTACAAATTTATCATGTGGCCGGTGGTTGTGAATCTCGACCAATAAAATTTTTTGGTTCTTTGGCTAATGATAATGTTTTTGCTTGATTTAATGTTGGTCGTTTTTTGCGATCGCGGGATTCAAGTTTAATTGTTTTTCCATTTCCTTCGAGTGATTGTTTTATTGCAACAATTACTCGCACATCGAGTAAACCTTCTTCACCATCAGCTTCTGGATCACTATTCTGTAAAATACATTCAGAAAAATATTCTGTTTCACCACCAAAATGATCTGTTTCTGAAAAATTCTTTGAATTTTCTTTGCCATCAATTTTTGTTTTATAAGCAATATTCACACCAGTACCCCACGTAAAAGCAGGATTTACTTCAATATCACCTAAAGAAACAATATAAATTTTGTTTATTTTTTCTCATTTCTCAAACTAAACGGTTTAATTCGAAAATCAAATTTCTAGTTAAAAATTTTTTTTACAAACAAATATTACGAAGAATTATAGTTTGATAAAATAAATAGATCTACATTAAAATGTTATACCTTTGGTACCAACAACTTTGTAACAATTAGTACCGGCTGCAGAATAACCAACAACAAATTGAGCCATACGATCGCCAGGAAATCGAAGTGTAACACTAACGGTATCATATTCCATTTGTAAAAATTCACGGTCTGGAGTTTTGAATCCTATAGCAGTTACTTCAATTGGTTCCATACCAAAAATATTTCGAGCAGCATTAATTGGGTATGGACCCATGTCTGGAATGGGACCAGCATCAAAACCTGAATGTCAAGCAAACAACATAAATGTGATCTACGTTTAAGTGTGTTTCTATTGAGAAAATATTTATTTTGGTTGTCATCTCTTCAATAAAATGTTCGTCTGCTTAGACAAATATTTAGGTAACAAACTATTTTATCAGTAAAATAGATTAAATGATCAGTACCTGGATTATTAGTAAACAATAAGAAAATAATCAGCTTTTTATATATACTTATCAGTAAAAAAATAAATTTATATGAGCAAAAACACAAATTTGATTAGTACATAATACAGATTTTATCAGCAGAAAAGTAAGTGTTACCTGTATAAAATATAATTTAGCATAAGAAAAATAAATTCAAATACGACATACTGAGTAAATAATAAATTCAAAGAGCGAATGAATAAGAAAGAAAATGAAAATTGAATTATTGCACTAGTAAAGCAGGTTTGATGTTCCTGATCTACTTCATTTTCTTTTCTCACCGATCGGTACTATGATTTTTTGTTGCTACTACTAGTTTGCAATATTTCAATATAGAAGTCCTACAAGTTACTCATTATGCATCACACATTTATTGAGCAACTTTGTTATACATCATGCTTCCATTTTTTTTAATTTGTTCACACTAAGCTGAAGGTGAAGGCAATGAAAGAAGAAAAGAATATACATATTGGAGTCCAAACTACAATTGCTTCTACACTCATGGTCAGATTGATTGGAGAGTATGTGCCAAAACATGAGTTATATAGTTTCTAGATCGACATCAACTCAGATCTTACTGATGAAATCTGATCAAACAATAGGAGAAATTTCGATACAATCATCAATTGATCAATCACGCTTGAATTCGTGAAGTTATGAACAGTTTCATACATGAAAACTGCTTTAATAGAAAACTATCCATAACTGCTTGATCTAAGTTCATCAATAACACTTTGAATTTCACGTCGATCTATATACTAATTCAAGTTATAACTCAATACTCTCCAACCGATCCGGCATCGGAACCGTCCAATCTCGGATCCGAGACTCGCCAGAGTCAATCCGATAATGAACGTACCTACATTTTGATTCTACCGTATATATGTATATGTTGTAATTTCCATCTCTATGCCATAGTACAAAAAAAAGAAAGAAGAAGAAAAATCATCAAGAAATTTTTCAATAACACATTTTCATTTCTATACTTACCTTTTGATTTAATCGGCTGTCAATCAATTTTATTTACTGACTTATAAATTTATTAACAAATCTGATTAATTAAAAACTGATCATTTGAGAAATATACTGATCATTCATTCAATTTACTGATAGCTCAATTATTTTACTAGTACAGCATTCAATATACTGATTTTATAATTATTTAGCTTACTGATCCTTTGATCTATTTTAGTGATCACTTAAATCCTAGTCAAATGTTTACCTTGTTTAGCACGATGATTTTCAGGTGTCAAAAATTGAGTAAAAACTGATGAAAATATACGAGGATCACCAAAATCTCCTTTTCGAACACGATTAATAACATCAAGTGTTCCTGGTTCATGATGAAGACGATAAGCAATCATTAATTTAGCACCACTCTGTTTTTGAGCAGCCAATATAGCTTCACAATTTTCTTCTGTAACCTCCATTGGCTTTTCAAGTAATACATGATAACCTAAAATAAATAATCAATATGATAATAAACAAATTCATAGAAACCTTTTTCAAGAGCTTGAACAGCAAATTGTCGATGTTGATTGTTTGGTGTGGCGATATAAAATGCATCACAGTGACCATCGGCAAGTGCTTGCGAAAATTGATCATAGCTGTATGATTTCAAATTGTATTCTTTGCCCAGTTTTTCACGTTTTTCTGCATCATCACTCACTAGCACAGTTAATACTGAAATGAACAAAATAAGAATCCAAGTATTGTCGTTTCATAGAAGTAAAACATGAAGATATTATGTTACCTGAATTGGATGTTTGTCCAACACCTGGCATAAATGAACTTTGACTGATCCATCCAGCAGCTATAACACCATAACGAACTTTAGGTCCAGAAGGTTTTCGACCAAGCAATGTGTTAATAGCGTCTTTTACAGTATCCATGTTTTTTTTGAAATCTAGAAATATGAATAAATATAAAGAAAAAAAATAACACAATATTTATCTGAAGAGGTTAAATGAGTGCGAATCTAACTGTTGGTTTCTTTGACTTTTTCTTTTTCTGTATACAGCCATACATTTACATTCAGTTCAAAGGAAAGAAAAAAGACAAAGGTTACCGAGTATAAAAGAAATATTGTAGCTGTGCTTTTGAGTACGCTAGATATATTTGGAAAAAATATTCTAACAACTGCAACTATTTCAAGATATAACTAAGGATTCGTTACATTCTGAGCTATATGTCCTTTTTCTACTCTCGCGGTCTAGTACGTGTAAACTGTTCAAATTTTCTACGAAGATATGTTATTCTACGTTGTTATGATGCTAAAAGACAATTATCTACAAGTATATAAGAACTTTGTTTGAAAATTATTGTCTAAGTTTTTTAGCATATTATAATTATATTGATTTTTACATTGTGACGATACAATAACAAATACGAGAAAACAAACTTCATTCAGTCGATAGAATATCTTTGATAAACTCATGCAACTCAGAGTTCTATTTTCATTGTATTGTATGATGTATAAAAATAGTCTATTAAATACCAATTTGATTATTAAACATATTTGTATCAGTTATAATTATTCAGATACAATCTAACAATCGAATCTTTGAGAATGAAACTCGTTCCTTCGATTTCGCCGCTATGGCTGAATGGTTAAGATGTTCGACACATATCCACAAGATAGTGTGTTCGAACCTCGGCGTCGGCAGACATAGAATGACCTTGGACAAGTTACTAACGGCTGCTTGTCTCGGACCACCCATCCGATAGCACGTTGACTACATGTGACATACATAAAAAGTCCATGTGACTAGTATGTGGTTAGTCAGTATGCATGGGGAGCTTAAGTGATTAAGCGAGAGGAACTCTGAGTCAGGCTGGCCTTCTGTCCAGAGCTGCAGCTAGTAATAGTTGTAGGGAAAACATCGGACTTTCGAAACTGTTCTTGGACAGCACCCTATACTGAAAAGTAGCCGAAAAGCAAGGGTATTCTTCTTCTTCTTCTTCTTCTTTGATTTCTTTCTTCTAAATTGACTTATTATAATTTGACTCGGCTTCTTCTGTATAGAAAAGAATTTTTCAGACTCTAACATTGTAAAATCTCAACAATAGAGCTTAAACAATTATATCGATTTCAAGGATCGATATCGAATAAATATAGTGGTTAAAATACATGGGTTTTTGAAACAAGTTTAAAGAAACGAATAGATTTTGTTGTTTCTGAAATACATCGTTACAAATAAGACTAGCTTGAAGGAAGTACTCACAATTCAAAAACTTGACTCAATGATGATTTGTTTCAACTTTAACTTTGGTGGCTAAAGTTCAAAATGGTTATATGAACTTCGATGATGTTATTTAGTCTAGAAGATTAGAGAGATCTTCTAATAAATAAGCAGCCTAATTTAATAGATCTAGAATATCTTTCTATTACCCTTAATGGAGCATTGTCTAATCTTTCGAAGTGAAAAAAAATTTATTTTGCAAAAATAAAATCCAGTAAACTCAATCTACAATCGTTATCATATGATTTTTTTCAGCACTCGAACTTGAGCATATAAATTCAAAGAGATATATCTTGATTTCTATTAGAGAAAAAAATACATTGATAGAACTGGTCACTAGCGATCAGCTTTTTTAGACATCTAGTTTTACAACCTAGAAATGCTAATGCATAAGCATCTGAAAAATATGATCTTTAAGTTTAACATATTTCATTAGGTATTTTTCCAGATTAAAGTTTTAAAAAATGTTTCTCATCCTGTCGAAATTCTGTTCGATTTAATTGTATAAAATTTTTGAAAAAATAGAAAATACAACTTCTTACAATTGTGAGAAAAGCTGAACTTTACTCGCATTGCTTTAGTGATGTTAAGAATTATTGAAAATGAACAATGACATTCAAATATCATTTATAATGGATAAAATTATGTGTATACCAAGGAAAACAACTTCTCTTCAATATTAATATTATACAATAAAACTAATCTAAACTATTCAATGAAAGGTAAAATGACTTTTACAAATCAACTTATAACATCACAACATATAGTTTATCTGTCTTATTCAAATTATAATAAGTTTTCTGTAATTCTTAGCTCGTATAATAAGATATCTTGTCATCAATGAATAGTTCTCGCTTTTATAATCTGTTCTCTATAAGTCTCAGTAGTTTAGATTATTATTTTCTGAATATAAACTCGTGTTAATGTTATGAATATGATCAATCTTCCCAAGCGTTTTCCTATTCTAATTGAAGTGTAATCATACTCAGTCATAAATTTTTAGTAAAAGTGAATCAATTGAGAAACTTTTCTGTTTCTCATGAGAGGAGCACTGCAACTGATTAGCAGCTTTGAACGTCATCTTTACTGCTGCTGGATCAATTTCCGCAGATATTTATTGGGAAAGCAATGAATAACCATCACATAAAAGTGTAATGCCTTTCGATCAAATATCGGTTTTTACATTGGATGATACAGAATGATCATCATCAATACTTATGACTTGTTTTCTTACTAAACGATTCTATTTGACTATGGACAAGATAATTTTGAGCAAGCCAAAGTTTAGACTGTTGTTGATACAATTAATGGTTATATTAAGACGTATAGACAGATCCATTAGAAAAAAGATAAAATCAAAAAGTAAAAATTTAC